CTACATAGTATTCACATCTCCCACTACAATACCTAGCATTAGCAAATGATATATACTGAGTGATTAAATGAACAATTGCGTTCCTGAAATAGTAGAGTTAAAAACAATAGGAACTGTATTATATATAAATATTGACTTTGCTACAAAAGGTAATGTAACTCACATACTATTTCCTTCTCAAGTCTTAGGTTGGTTGGAGGAAGAAAAAGAAACATGATTACAGGCATACCTCAATGATATTGTGAGTTTGGTTCCAGATTACCACAATAATGCAAGTCAAATTTTTTGGTTTTCCAGTGCCTATAAAAGTTATGTTTGCACTATACTGTAGTCTATTAAGCGTACAATAGCATTATGTCTAAAGAACAATGTACATACCTTAATTAAAAAATACTTTATTGCTTAAAAATGCTAACTATTATCTGAACTTTCAGTGAGTTAAATCTTTTTGCCGATGGAGTGTCTTGCCTCGGTGTTGATCTGCTGACTGGTCAGGGTGGTGGTTGCTGAAGATTGGGATGTTTGTAGCAGTCTCTTTAAATAAGACAGCAATGAAGTTTGCCACACTGATTGACCCTTTTATGAGCAATTTCTCTGTAGCATGCAATGCTGTTTGATAGCATTTTACCTAGAACTTGTTTCAGAACTGGAGTCATTCTTCTCAGACCCTGATGCTGCTATCAACTAAGTTGATGTAACATTCTAAATCATTTGTTGTTATTTCAACTATTGCCACAACATCTTCACCAAGAGTGGATTCCATCTCAAGAAACCACTTTCTTTGTTCATCCGTAAGAACCAACTCCTCATCCATTCGAGTTTTATCAATGAAATTGCAGCGATTCAATCACATCTTCAGACTTCTCTTCTAATATTCATTCTCTTGCTATCTCCACCACATCCGCAGTTACTGCTTCCATTGAAGTCTTAACTCCTCAGAGTCACCCATGAAGGTTGGATTCAACTTCTTCCGAACTCCTGTGAATATTGATATTTTGACCTCTTCCCATTAATCATGAATGTTCTTAATGGCATCTAAAATGATGAATACTTCCCAGAAGGTTTTCAATTTACTTTACCCAGATCCATCAGAGGAATCACCATCGATGGCAGCTTTAGCCTTATGAAATGTATTTCTTGAATAATATGCCTTGAAAGTTGAAATTAATCCTTGGCTGCAGAATGGATGCTGTGTTATGTTAAGCAGGCATGCAAACAACATTAATCTTGTGTATCTCCATCAAAGCTTTTGGGGGACCAGGTTCATTGTCAATGAGCAATAATAATTTGAAAGGAATCCTTTTTTTTTTTTTTTTCTAAGCATTAGATAGTGGGCTTGAAACATTCAGTAAACCATGTTGTAAACAGATGTGCTATCATCCAGGCTTTATTGTTCCATTCAGAGACCACAAGAATTCGCATAATTCTTAACAACCTTAGGCTTTTTGAGATGGTAAATAAGCATTGTTTTCAATTTAAGGTCACCAGCTGCTTTAGCCCCTAACAAAAGAGTCAGCCTGTCTTTTGAAGCTTTGAAGCCAGGCACTGACTTTTCCTCTCTAGCTATGAAAGCCCTAGACGGCATCTTCTTCCAATAGAAGACTATTTTGTTTATACTGAAAATCTGTTATTTAGTGTAGCAACCTTCATGAATGATCTTAGCTCGATCTTCTGGATCACTCACTTCTGGATCAACTCGCTGAAGCTTCCTCCTCAGCACGTGCTGCTTCACCTTGCACTTTGATATCGTACAGATGACTTCTTTCCTCCAACTTCATGAACCAACTACTGCTAGGTTCCAACTTCTCTTCTACAGCTCCCTCACTTCTCTCAGCCTTCACAGAATTGAAGAGCATTAGGGCCTTGCTCTGGATTCCCCTTTGGCTCAAGTGACTGTTGTAACTGATTTGATCTTCTATCCAGACCCCTCAAACTCTCTCCATATCAGCAAGAAGGCTGTTTTGCTTCTTATCATTCATGTGTTCACAGGAGTAGCACTTTGAAATATCTTCAAGAACTTTACTTTGCATTCACAACTTGGCTAACCGTTTAGCATAAGAGGCCTAGCTTTAGGCCTATCTTGGCTTTTGACATGTCTTCCTCACTAATCATTCCTAGCTTTTGATTTAAAGTGAGAGACATGCAACCTTCCTTTCAGTTGAATAAGTAGAGGCCATTATAGTATTATTAATTGGCCTAATTTCAATATTGTTGTGTCTCAGAGAATAGAAAGGCCTGAGAAGAGAAAGGTGGGGAACAGCTGGTAGGTGTAGCAGTCAGAATACATATATTTATTGATTAAGTTTGTCATCTGTTATGAGTGTGTTTTGTGGCATTCTGAAACAATTACAATGGTGACACCAAAGATGACTGATCACAGATCACCACAGTAAATATAATAATGAAAACATTTGAAATATTGTGAGAATTACCAAAATGTGACAGAGAGATGCAAAGTGAGCAAATGCTGTTAGACAAAAGGCGGCTACAGACTTGCTCATCAAAGGGTTGCCACAAACCTATTTATAAAAAACACAGTATCTGTGAAGAGCAATAAAGCAAAGCACAATAAAATGATGTATTCCTGTACTAAGAAACTGAATAACCTCTTGGGGAAACACTCAAACATGGTATTTCCAACCCCACACACTTGTGCAGACAAGCTCACTGCTTTAACCAGCTTCCTGGGAAATAAGAAAGATGTTGAATGAGCCGAATTATTTATAAATTGTGTACTTACCTAGATATGGACAGAGTTTTAGTCCATCTCTTAGTGTCTTTTATCTGAAACAAAACAAAACAAAACCCAGACTAATCTCTGAAGATGAAAGGAGAGAGTAAGAAACTTCACTGAGTCATAAAAGGATGGCTTTGTAACTTAGGGTCCTCAAGAAAAGTTCTTTCAACCCCCCTTTGTGAAAGTGCTTTTAGATCAGGGCTAACTCAAGTAAGTTTTTGAAACATCAACACTGCTACTTAGATATATGAACTTGGAGACATTGTTAAGTTTCCTCATCTGTAAAACGAGGGCATTATTACTTATGGTATAGCTGTGGGGATTAATTAATGCGCACACACACACACGCACGCACGCATGCACGCATGCACACACACTGTCACTGACATCAAGTAAATTGAAGTGATATTGAAGAAATTAAGCTGAGGTCACCACACAAATCTTTCAGCAAGGGAAGTTTTCTCCCCAAACTGCAAATGCTCAAATTCTGAAACATTATTCCTCTTGCTCTAATTTTCAATCACTTTTTGTCAAAGAATTTAATTTATATAAATCTTATATCAGGGCACCTGGGTGGCTCAGTTGGTTAAGCATCTGCCTTTGGCTCAGGTCATGATCCCAGGGTCCTGGGATCGAGCCCCACATTGGGCTCCTTGCTCAGTGGGGAGCCTGCTCCTCCCTCTCTGGCTCCCCCTGCTTGTGCTCTCTCTCTCTCTGTCAAATAAGTAAATAAATAATAAAATCTTAAAAAAATAAATCTTGTATCAGTGTTTAAATGAATTACTTCCTCAAGAGTTCTGGAATTCTATAGATTTCAGGACTCTCCATATTCCAGATTTTCATTTGAGAGGGCAACTTGAATGCTAACGCAGTCAGGTTTTTATTTGGAGCTTTAATTTTAGCAAATGATAACTGGAACTGATGATGTTTCTATTTTATTATATTGTTACATTGCATGCTGTAAGCTGACTCAACTGGTATTTCAGAAACTGATCTTTTATCAAGAATGCCTCTAAGGCAAATGAGATTTTTAGGAAACAACTGTTGGTTGAATATCCTTGCAGTATGGAAATCAGTAATCTGACAAAAATGAGAAATATGTCATAGCATTTGGAATAAGTGAGAATTTACCAGTTTAAAAGTTAAGCCAGGAAGTTTATATACATTAACTTTATGAAGTGGGGGTGTTATTAAACCCATTTTGTAGATACAGAGACCGGAAGTCAGAAAGTTTAGAAGTCATACAAAAATTAGGTGGCTGAAGCAGAGTTTGAACTTTTATCCACTAAGCATACACTGCTTACTTTTCCATTAGATACCACTTCATCCCACCCCAACCTAGTAACCCCAGTGAACCGCTTCCTAGAGCATAGACCTATCTTCATTCACCTGTCCTTGAACCATGTCTTTATGTAGAATGTGCTCTTTTTCTCCGTCTTCTCATCCTTCAACATCCTGTTCACACTGCTTATGGGATATTCTGTCTTTATGCCCTTGTTGGAATTAACATATAAGTACCACTTACAGTAAAGTCCTTATATCGCTTTCTTCTTCTGATAGACCAAACTCTTTGAAAACAAGTATTTAGTCTTATCTATCTCTAGATCCCCACATTACTCAGAAGTTACTTGATAAATATTTTTGGAACTGAAAGATGTGCCTTTTCATTCTTTCAAACATACATTAGAAAGCCAAATCTTATGAAGAGTTGTAATATGCTCCTTGGGAACGGTAATAGTTCCTGGAAACTTTCCAAAATACTCAGAAAAGGACTTCTCAAAATTATGTCTTCAATAAAAGTGGTTGACGAGATTACCTTCTCTATCACTGCAGCACACATAGTTTACCTCAAGAAATGACCATGCCCTAAAAGGGTAGTCATAAATGACCTTACTCTAACAACTGCCAGATAGTACAACAATATATTTATACATAAAAAAGTACAACTGATAATAATGTATCAAAGAAGTTTGAATATCTAACAATGATTTTTAAACATGTTTTAAAACAAATATATTTTTAAATAAAATAAATTAAATTCTGTTAAAGATCCAATAGAACTTCGATCCTGCCAAAAATTTGATGAGACAAATTAGAGGAGTCTGATGACTCAGGTCTGCTCTCAAAGGGCAGGCAGATGGTTGCACATTGTGGAATTTCCTCTGACATAATGCAAGAATGAGGGTGCATATTCTCTGCTGCTCTGAATAATATAAAAAGCCACAGAAGCTCTCCAGCCAACAGAAGTCCCTTGGGACAACAGAGCTCACCAGCGTCTGGGACAAGAGCCAGGGAGAAACCAGAACGAAGGCACCTTTCGTCAACATGACTTCCAAGCTGGCTATTGCTCTCTTGGCAGTTTTCCTGCTTTCTGCAGCTCTGTGCGAAGGTAAGCAGACTTTTCTGGTCCACGGAGTTTTCCTGTGCCTAAATGTGATCCTCAGATAGCAAGATTGCCCTTAATGCTTTAATAGCAAACATCCTTTTTATTCAGGTAAAGGAAATAATCTTTGCAGTCACTTAATATTAAATTGAAGCTTTAATTGTTTAGGTTTTATCTCTACAATACTTAGAAAAGTATAAAGTTTGATTAATAGAGACACCCTGTTCCTATTTTTCATACTCTATAGGATGTATACATATAAATGCATTAATATAAATCTGTAATTTAGAGTATATCTTATTTTAAAAGATTATTTATTTTTAGAGAGTGAGAGAGAGAGTGTGTGGGAGGAGAGGCAGAGGGAGAGGGAGAGAGAGAGAATCTCAAGCAGACTCCACGCTGAATGAGGAGCCAGATGCAGGGCTCCATCTCACGACCCTGAGATCATGACCGGAGCCAAAATCAAGAGTCGGATGCTTAACCAACGGAGCCATCCAGGCGCCCCTAGAGTATATCTTATGAGGGGCCACAATTACTCATATTATTTATTAATATCGAGTGAGATAACTCAGGTAACTTTACTCCACGTGCAGTTTTATTGACAAGCTTCAGATGCTATCATTTCCTCTTGGATTTAAAGACACCCTGACAAACTGTAAATCTTCTTGGGATCCCTCCCATGAAAGAAATACAGTTAGAAATGTTTGTTTTTACATTTTTTTTTCTTTTCCATTAAGCATTACAGATTTTGCTAAGAGACATCTTTGTGAAACTTATATATTTCTATTAATTCTTTCTGAAGGCAATTTCTCTGTGGTTGAATCTTAGTTTACATACTATAAATAGCATTGTGGTATCACAGAAGATTACACAATATCAACTAGAAGAAAAAGTACCATAAGGATGTCAACATTTCACAAAGACAACTCCAAGTCTTTATGAAGGAAGTCAGTCAATGCTGTCATTAATGACAGCTGTTGTTTTTTTAATTGAACTTAGGGGCTAGGAGAATATCCAGGCTTCTCCCTCAAGAATGACTTTACTAAAGAGGTGATGTTTACCAAACATACAGTCACCATATTATCAGGTGGGAATTAAGGAGAGAGTAGCTAGCAGAGCCATGTTTGGGATGAAATTAATCCTTGTTTTTATTATTTTTTCACAGCTGCAGTTCTGTCAAGAATGAGTTCAGAACTTCGATGCCAGTGCATAAACACTCACTCCTCGCCTTTCCATCCCAAATATATCAAAGAACTGAGAGTGATTGACAGTGGCCCACATTGTGAAAACTCAGAAATCATGTAAGTACTTTCAAAAGTGATTAGATATGTTAATTTCAGCAAACCTATAATGGAGGAAGGTGGAAGTATCCAGCAAAGTTCTAGGTACAGGAATACAGTAGTGGGCAGAACAGAAAAGAAAGATTCTTTGTCTCCATGACGTTTAAATATGGTAACTTCCATGCCTCGTAACTAAAAATGACTTGGACTCAGATTTTATGCTCGTACTTCAGGAACCACAAATTGAAAGGCAAAGGGATGTCTGAAACCTGCTAAGTACTGATTTAATCATATCTCTCTCATTTCAGTGTAAAGCTTGTCAATGGAAAAGAGGTGTGCCTGGACCCCAAGGAAAAATGGGTACAGAAGGTTGTGCAGATATTTTTGAAGAGGTAAGTTGTGTGTTTTGGTTTGTTTATTTGTTTTTTTGATTCTTCATTTATCCTGAGACATACAGTCTAAAAGTTAGCCTATAAATTTTCTGTTGCTGCTGGAAGTCTACTCTTTTGGGGATCTGCCCTTTTGATTAAAAAAAAAAAGTAGCAATAGTGAATTAGCTGTATTCTTGACTGGGAAGACCATACATCTCAGTTTGACCAGGGAACTCTGGGCTTATGCCTGTACCCTGTATCATTGGTATGGTTCCCTTTCATTCTCAGAGGAGTCCTGGCTTGAATGATAACTTATCTGTCTCTTTATTCATAGTTGAAAATTAGGATACTTCTAACACATGAATATCTAAGACTATTCATTTCCCTCGTAAATATACATTCAAGAACAATACTTTCCTCCTTATTAGAACACTGTTAATTATTTTTTTTATTTTATTTATTTCCAGGGCTGAGAAACAGGAATCATGAAACAAACACATTCTCCATGGTTTCCAAGAATTCCTCAGTAAAGATGCCAATGAGACTTCAAAGAAATCTACTTCAGCACTTTATGTTCTGTGTGGGTCTGGTGTGGGGTGGTCAGATAAAATACAATATGCCCAGTTAGATTTGAATATTAAGTAAAACAATGAATAGTTTTTTTCAATGTCTCATATACGTTGTCCTATGCAATATCTAGGCACATTTATATTAAAAATATTATTCATTGTTTACTGTAAATTCAAATTTAGCTGAAATCCTGGATATATTTTGTTGTTGTTACATTGTTCCACCCCAGCCTGCTGGCCAGGATGCACCAGTCCCTGTTCAACTTTGCCTTGGTTTCTTCTTTATTCCTCAACTGGAGAAAAAGTATCAGCCACCATCCTACCTCACAGAGATGTGAGGACATGTGGAAGCACTTTAACTTTTTCTCATGTTGTCTCAATTATGTTCAGGTGAAACTTGTTTGCTTATTTATTATTTATATATTTATTTAAGAAATAAATATAGGGACATGTGTGCATAAATTTGGAAAAATGGGAAAGGAACTATTATTGATAGGCTAGTAGAATGATGGTAGTGAATTTATATTTATTTTAATATTAAATGATGTTATATTAGAGAATTATTTTGAACAAGGTTGCCAGATTTAGCAAAATTAAAAACAGACACCCAATTAATTTTGAATTCAGACAATGGCTAATTTTTTAGTATATCATTATTTATCTGAAATTTTCATTGAACTAGCAATCCTATTTTTGATATTCCCAGTCTTGTCTTATTGCGGGCAGCCTTGTTGTGCACTGCTGTGTTGAATCATCAGAACCCTGAGTTAGAATTGTTTCTCAAAACAGCAAAAATTCAACAGGCAAAAATTAAAAAAATAAAATAATAAAAAAAAATTCAACAGGCAATGTTAACAAAGTAATTTCTTGCTAGATAAAACATTTATTATTTACAAATGGATTCTAATAATTTCACTTAAATTATTGTGTTTTTAAACACTAACTTTATTTTTTGACTTTAAAATGCTTTTATGTGTTCCCAAAGAGATTTTTTCTACTATTTTTGATGTATGGAAATAAAAATGTAACTATAAAATATTTAAAATAAAACTTCTTGTCAAAGTCATCAGGTGTTTATCTTTCTTTGACAGTTTTAAAAGTTATTGTTTTATATCTTTTTACATTAAAAATACTTTGAGTTAAAAAACAAATTCTGGGGTGCCTGGGTAGCTCTGTCATTAAGCCTCTGCCTTTGGCTCAGGTCATGATCCCAGGGTCCTGGGATCCAGCCCCGCATCAGGCTCCCTGCTCCCCCGGAAGCCTGCTCCCCGCCCCCACTCCCCCTGCTTGTGTTCCCTCTCTCTCTGTGTCTCTCTCTGTCAAATAAATAAAATCTTAAAAAAAAAAAAAAACACACAAATTCTTGGGGCACCTGGGTGCCTCAATCAGGTAAGTGTCTCAGTCTTGATTTCAGCTCAGGTCACGATCTCAGAATCATGAAATCAAGCCCCATGTAGCTTTCCATACTCTGTGTGGAGTTTGCTTGGGATTCTCTCCCTCTGCTTCTATCCCCCCAGTTCTCTCTCTCTCTCTCTCTCAAAATAAATAGATAAAATCTAATAAACAAACATAAATGCTTCCTTTAGCATTTTGTATATTATGTGGAAAATTACAAACCTCTGTAGAAAAACAGATATCTTTTCCAGAGATGGGTTACAAACAGCAGTCCCTTCCATAGAATGATGGAAATTTTCTCAACCCCCACCCCTTGTATTCCATTTTGCTAATAAGGCTGACTTCAGATTTTTAATTAACCAACCCAGGTGTTTGTACAGCTTAGCACAGCTGAGCACTCAGTGAAAGAGGGAAGTGAATACTCGTTACAAAGCACTTCTCTGCTCATTGAGTAAAACTGACACATATGAGATAAGGAAGTTTGAATATGATTAAAGGCCAAGCATATTTGTAAATAATTCAAACAAAACTCTTAAAAGTAAAAATTACAATAGTTTGACTAAAATACTCAATGGAGAAGTTTTATACCAGAATAGACACAGCTGAAAAGAAAATCGGAGATCCAGGAACTAAAACAAAAGGACTTTATCTGGAATTCACATCAGAGAGATAAAGAGGTAGTAAATAGGAAAAAGTAATGAAAAGACATGGAGGATCTGGGGATAAGGTCTTACCAATGTCTAGTTGGATTTTTACAGGCGGAGGAGAGAGGAAAGTGTCAGAGACATTTGAAGTGACAATGACTGAAAACTTACCACGTGATGAAGAATAACAATCCATAGTTTCAAGAAATACAACTTACCAATGCCTAACTTTACATTTCTAGTCAAAAAAGATGGATCTTAGAACTTTGATTCACACTTATCTACCTCCCACCTCATTTACTATTGCTTTTGGGTATTTTAAGTCCACTTTCTTTTAAAGCTCCACAGTGTTGAGGGAGGAAGTGTTCTCTCCTATTTTCTCACTCATTGGTTCACATTGCAACCTGCTTTTGCTATGTCATTTAGCTCCTTACAACTACTCAGGTACCTGCAGCTCCCATTTTTTCCATGGGTCAACATTATCTGTGGTGTGGAGCACAAAGCCCATTCTTTCTCTCTTCTAATTCCCAATATACTTCCCTACAAAAGTGTGCAGCATAATAACATTAATGAAAGATTTATGAATAATGCACAAGCAGGAACCAACTGGAAATTCAACCCTGGTACTCACCATTCCTAAAAATGTTGTTTCCCTCTCGAGGTGATTTCTCCCTGCCTCTATTTCTTCTCAGACCCTGTTAGAGGGCCGCTTCTTCCTCGGAGTTCTGCCCAAGTTTCATTTCCACGTTGTCCTCCACAGATTTAAGTTCCCTTGGCTTACCACCCTTTGCAGTCTCTCATTGTGTGGATCTCATATAAATAAATGTGAATTTATATGAGTAAATAAAACAGATAGCAGACAAGTAATTTCAACAAAATGTTCATAGGAAAGATACAGGATTTTTCAGAAGCAGATAGCAAAGAGTTATCTAACCTAACTCGACTAGGCTTCACTGAGAAAATCTAAACTAGAGTCTGAACGGTGAGTAGGAGTTAGCCACACAAAGGGAAGAAGGATGCATGGGGAAGGGTGGTCTAGACATCAGGGGAGAAGTAATTTGTAGGCAAGAGCATGTCACAAATTGAGAAGTGAAATAATTTCAGTGTGGCTAGAGTTTGGCATGAAGCAAAACAAATACTAACAGATCAAGCTATACTAAATGGACTATGGAATCTTGAAAGGGCTTAGATTTGGAATTGAAAACTTCTAGTAGATTCCAATTACTCTCATTTTAAATTGTGAACCTTACAGGCTGTTCTTCCTGGGTCTCCTCCCAAAAGGAAGTGAGAAACCATAAAAAAAAACAATTCAAAAGACTGATCTTGGGGGATTTTTAATGCTGTTTGTATTATTAATTTGATTAGAGACAATAATAAAGTGCTCACCTTAAACCTGCATTAATTGTAAAATACATACATAGTACATTCAACAAGCAAAATTGACTAATTTTCATAATTGCTAATTTGGGTTTGTTTGTTTTTTTGCTAAAAATGCATCAAGAAATAGATTCATACATTAAACTTATGTAAGCAGAATCTTTTAATCTCAAGATTTTGATAAATAAGTAATTTGAATAATCAAAGAACCCCCAACTTTATACAAAACCTCTTAGTGTGTTAAGTACACATTGTTAATATGATCAGTGTCCACGGGAGCAAGATGGGGGAGGAGTAGGCGACCTGGATTTCGGCTGGTCTCAGGAATTCAGCTGGATAGAGATCAAACCATTCTGAACACCTACGAACTCAGCAGGAGATCGAAGAAAAGAATAGCAACAACTCTCTGAACAGAAAAAAGAGACCACTTTCTGGAAGGTAGGATGTGCAAAGTGAATCCGAGGCGAAATTTGGGAAGATAGACAGCGGGGAAGGGGGTCTCCGTCAGCTGTTTCTGGCAAGTGATAGAGCCCCGGAGCACAAAATCAGAACTTTTAGAAGTCGGCTCCGCTGAGGGACGTCGCTCCAGTGGCTAAGCGGGGGGTGGACCCCTCACCGGACAGTGTGGTCTCGGGATCCTCGGGGTCACAGGAAGACCGGGGGTGCCTGAGTGTGGCAGAGCTCCCAGGTATTGGAGCGGGGAAGCCAGCTGCAGAGACGGAGCCAAGGCGCAGGCTCTCAGCTCGGGGTTGCCATAAACTGCGATCCATGGCCCAGTCGGGCCACTGCTCCTCCAGCAGGGACCCAACAAGCGGCAGATCCGGGGAGACTCCCCTTCCTCCCCCTGGAGGAGCGGCGCGGGAGCGCACTGCAGGGATCTGCTGGGTTTGGAGACTCCACACGGGGTCAGGTGCCAGAGATAGAAACACTCGGTCACAGGCCGGGTGAGCACGGAGTGCGGCCAGAGACCGGCGAGACGGGAGTGACTGACTGTTTTTCTCTGGGGACGCACTGAGGAGCAGGGACCCGAGTTCTCGGCTCCTCCGGGTCAGAGATTGGGGGGCAGCCATTTTCACTCTCGTCCTCCAAAACTGTATGGAAAGCATGCAGGGAACAAAAGCTCCCAGAGCAAACCTGAGCAGATTACTTAGCCCGGACCTGGGAAGGGCGGGGCAATTCCGCCTCCGGCAAAGACATTTGGGAACCACAGCAACAGGCCCCTCCCCCAGAAGATCAGCAGGAACAGCCAGACAAGACCAAGTTTACCAATCAATGAGAACAGCAGAACTCCAGCGCTAGAGGAATACTGCACATAGAATTCATGGCTTTTTTACCATGATTCTTTAGTCTTTCAAAGTTAATTTTTTTTAACTGTCTTTTTTTAAAAATTTTTCTTTTCCCCTTTTTCAACCAATATTTTATCAATCCCTTTTTAAAAAAAAAAATATTTTTCATTTTTACAGTCATATTCTCTCCCTTCATAGTAGTTACCATTATTTTTGGCAAATATATATAAGTTGTTCTCTCTTTAAAATTTTGACATACAGTTTCTTCTAACAGATCAAAATATACCCTAAATCTCTAGTGTATGGCTTTGTTCTAGTCTCCTGCCTAATCACATTCTCTCCCGTTTTTTCTTTCTTTCTTTTTTTAAATCCTCTTCTTTCTTTTTTCAAACAACTTCTTATCAATTCCTTTTATAAAATTCTTTATAATTTTCATCTTTACAGTCATATTCCATCCCTTCATCGTATCAATCCTTATTTTGTATAAGTCTTTCTTTCTTTAAAATTTTGGGAGGTACTTTCTTCTAACAGACCAAAATACACCCAAAATCTAGTGTGTGGCACTGATCTATGCACCAGCCTGATCATATTTGATCATATTCTGTTTTTTGTATTCTGTTTTTGTTTGTTTTTATCTTTTTCTTTTTCTCTTTCTTTTTTCTTTCTTTCCCTTTCTTTTCCCCTGGTTTCAGGTCTTTTCTGATTTGTTTAGAGTATATTTTCTGGGGATGTTGTTACCCTGTTAGCATTTTGTTCTCTCATTCATCTATTCTCCTCTGGACAAAATGACAAGACGGAAAAAATCACCTCAACAAAAAGAACAAGAGGTAGTACCGTCTGCGAGGGACCTACTCAATAAGGACATTAGTACAAGGAAGGACCTAAAGTTCAGAATTATGATTTTAAAGATACTCGCTGGGCTTGAAAAAAGCATGGAAGTTATTAGAGAAACCCTTTCTGGAGAAATAA